AACTGGGCTTCCCACTGGGACATCTGCCAAAGAGGTGTATGAAATTCTAACAAAAAGTCCAATTGCCTTAAGTCAGTCAAACAGTCAAGCCAGAAGGAAGGCAGAAAGTCATGAGTTGGAAGATGAGTCCTGGTTTAGACAATAAGTCACACCTGAACCAAGGTGGAAACCAAAGCAAAGCCTGGTGGTATAGAAAATAGACACGAGGTGAAAAGTTGTCACAGTATAGGGAGAGCAATGAATGCAATTTATGGACACTAATATTTCATTCGCACTTCGCTTCGTGTGTAATAAATATCTCACACTCTCCTCAAATTGCATATAAACTATTAGTTATATATGCCATCCTCCCTCTTTACATCATGGTTATCCTCACTTCTGTTATGTTTATTTTTATCAAGACTAAAGAAAATCAAATATTTTTCTTCTTTCTTGAATAAAAGAAGTGAGAGAATCCAGCTTTGTGCATAGAAGACATCTCTTCATGGCACTGAATTATCTAGTAATATTGGTTGGGAACAATAATGGAGTTTCTTCGTTTGATGACCACAATATCCACAAGCATGATTGTGATGACATCTACATTTTATTGCCCTGATTCAACTTTTGTACTTATTCAACCTTAGCTGAAATGTGCTGGGTTTTAAACCATACCATTGACATTGGGTCATTTGACTTTGAATGACATCTCTGTCACTGACTAGCTATCTGATTTTTAACACATTACCTGATTTTCCTAAAGTTTAGTTTCTTCACTGAAAAATGGGGTAAAATATCTTGAAAACTTGTTTTAAAGGCTAAATGTGTCTAGTAGCAAATATGGACAGTATTAGCAGTGGGCGTGACTCCCTATTGGTTCTTTTTTTTTTTTTTTTTTTTTTTTTAAGATTTTATTTATTTTATTTTTTCCCCCCAAAGCCCCAGTGGGTAGTTGTATGTCGTAGCTGCGCATCCTTCCAGTTGCTGTATGTGGGACTCGGCCCCAGGATGAACGGAGAAGTGGTGCCTCGATGCGCACCCGGGATCCGAACCCGGGCCACCACCATCGCAGCGCATGCACTTAACCACCAAGCCACAGGGCCGGCCCTCCCTATTGGTTCTTAAAGAATAGTAGTTTCTATTCTCTGCTACTCCAGTGAATTTCCTTCTCTTCTGTTGGATAAGCAAGATGTTAAGGATCATATGTTGGTTCTCAACAGGTATTCTCAGACCTTTCTCTTGAAAATATTTATGAGAGTCTTTGGGGACGGGCTCTTTTAGTCATCATAAATATCCTATCTTTTCCTACTTTTGAATAACAAGTAAACTGGTTCCTACAGTAATGTTAAAGAGTAAATCATGTAGGTAGAAGGAATCTCATGCATCTCCAGCATCTTCCTGAGCTCTTTACTAGCAACTTTCCTGGATGTGACACATATGGCTCTAGAAAAAGAAATAGTAAATCCAGTGTGGCAAGATGCGATCCTTTTAAATCACTTTTATTCAAAGAAGCAGGTTCTGTGCGCAAATACTTATAGTAACATGCCAGAAACCCTACAAAACCTCTGTCACCAGAGAGTGGTGAAACAAAGGATTGTAAAATTAAATGCAGAACTTATTTATACAGATTCTAGGTTTTCTACCTAGTTTTCTTGCTTTACTATTGTTGTCTTTATGCTTTTCAATGGCTTAGGACCACATACCCTTTAATATACACCAAGAAGATATTTCTCTGTCAATCTCTTAAGCTCTCTGGCCTCTGATTTAACCTAGAAATATTTTTTTACTAACCTGAATTTCACACTTGGGCTGCGGATTCAACTAACCTTCCTTTGAAGCAGAATAATATGAAATGCCTCGATATTTAAAGTTTATCTTTATCTATGTTTTTAGACTTCTAATGAATTTTAGTCACTTCTTTTCAAGTCTGTGATTCTTGAAAACCTCTCATCCATTGGATTCTGTGATATAAGACTCTCTTCATTCTTCTACCTCTTTGATCATTTCTATTTCTCCTCTTCTCCTACTTATCCTTAAGTGTTGATGTACCCCTAGTGGTTTATCGTAAGTTCTATTCTCTTTTTATGCTACGTATTTTCCTGAGATGATCTTAGCCTCCAAATGCTTATGATTTATAAGTTCTCCTACCATTAACTTTCTCCAGAGTTCTAGACCCATATAACCACTGATTATCTTATAGTCTACAAAAATTCAAAATATCTAGCAACTTTCTGGCTAACTCTATTCTTCCTCACATATCTCTTATCTTGGTTAAATGTCACCAATTTCCCTATGTGTGAACAAACCTGTAACCAAGCAGTAATTCTAAACTTGTTGTTTCTTTCCCCTTATCTAATCATTTACCAAGTCTTATCAATTTTGTCTCCTTAATATCTCTCAAAAAGATTAGCTATCTCCACCTCCATTGACCACTTCCTTGATTAAGGCCCTGGTATGTCTCTTTGCCCCACTCCTCTCTATTCATCATACATCGTCTAGAGTGATAGATCTAAATGTACATTTGGATAAGTCAATCCTTTATTAAAAATCTTTTAATGACTCTCTGCCATGTATAAGATAAAGCCAACACTATATCAATGGCATACAAAGACCTTTCCCATTTGATCCCTAACGACTTCAACCTCTGTCTTTAATGTCTCTTCTTCACATTTACATTCCTAAAATAACAGAACTGTTGGCAGTCTGTCCCACTGCCTTTATGCCTCCACTTTCCCACCACGCCATTGTTTTTCATCCCTCCATCCCATTGAGTGTACTTCACTGATGCGTGAAATGTGCTCACTGACATCTCTACGTGCCCATCCACTTGGGGAGCTCATTGTTATTATTCGACTTTTTTTCAGGCATAATTCCCTTATAAAACCTTCTCTGTCACCACAAAAAAATCCTGCAAGATAATTTCCTCCTGCCCACAAGAAAATCTGAATCTTCTATATATGTTCATTATTACATCTTATATAAATATATTTGTTGCAAGAACCAAAATGACAAATGTTGGCCCTTAGTCTGAATAAAGTGAAAAGGAATAGTAATGAAAGAAAATTAATGTTCGTAGGAGTGTGTATGTGTGTGTCAGACAGACAGTCACAGAGACAGAGACAGATAGCGATACACAGAGAGAAGAAGAGAGATGGGGACAGAAAGATGGAGAGAATGCACAAATATATGTTTGGAGATTCAATAAATACAGTATTTGGCAACAACAATAAAATTATCTTTAAAATATTTGCAGTTTGGGCTACTGTTTTCCCTTGAAACAATATTCTCTAAGGATTCACCAAAGGAAAATTGCTAAATATTTATAATCAGCAATAGTATGAAGATATTAATTCATGTACTGATAGTTTAGTTGTAGTTTATGTTTTGCTTACTTGGAAGATTTTTTTTTAATGTATTTTTCCCTTCAAGTAAATGCTACAACAAGTTTAACTGCATGCACTTTGACAAATGATAGCTTATGTATGGTTATAGAAAGGTAAGTTTATTCTTCTAGCTATATCAGAGATAGAAAAGAATGTGTGTGCTTGTATATACATACATGTAGACATTTATATACACCTATATATACATAGAGGTGTGTGTATAAACATGTGTGTGTGTTTGTGTGTATACACACACATTAGTTGTCTGAAACTAGTAGACACTTGGTACAATGCATCATTTCCAGGGTTGGTTTTTGTTTGAGTGAGAGTTAAAGGACTTCACACAAAGCAGCCAGATATAGTCTACTTCTGATAAAACGCATGCCTCCCTATACAGGGCTATTCTGCTTCTCAAAGCAATCTTGCTTCAGCTGAATGGATGACCTTATCTGAAGTCATTGGCTCATTTGAAAGGCCATATATACTTTTTTTTTCCATGAGCAAAGGAAAGCTAAACTAAATCAATTTATATTTCCTATGGACATGAAAAAATTACCCTCTGGCTCAGAAAAGCCATGGCAGAAAAACACGTGACTTAAAACAAGGCATCATTGAGCTTGTGCATTAATCTACATGAAGCACTTGTAATCTTATAGAAAGCTCTAGACTACTTTTGGTATTGGAATTAGGCCTTTTTATTTACTTATTTTTCATTATCACTAAGCTTTTTGGTACTGAGGAATTGCAAACTGGACAGCAGCTTGTGTGGATTTCCAATGCCAGTGGAATGGCCTCGAGAGTTTCTTCCTTTCAGGGTGATGTCATCAGTTAGCCAGTTTCCGTAGAGCCCCATACACCACCAAAGAAGTTCCTCTCAGTATTAGTTCTACCTTCACCTGCCAAGAAAAGAAAACACACAGCTTCCTTTATTCTACAGTGAAACAAAGTGGTTTGGACACAATTTGGAGGAGAACTGCCAGAAAAAACAAAAAAAGGCTTTAATTTAATAATGTTTCCATACATTTAGATGCTCTTCTAAAATATATGACTTCAATTGATTTTTACCTTTTTTATGGAATACAACTGGTATGGTAGAAATTGAACTTTGGCATTGACCCAGAATGTTAAAGAAAAGATATAAAACTTTATAAAATCCAAAACTATTAAATCATTGCAGGAGGGATTTTTTTGTCTGTGTATGTGTGCTTCACAAAAAAGCACGATGCTTGTTGTTAACAGAAAATAATCGTAATTTTATCTGAGGTAATGCATTTTTCTGTTTTATCTGAGACAAAATTCTAAACAAGGTGATTCATGAAAACCATATTGTGTGCCAAAGAAACTGAAATAATTGCTGTTGTTTCCACATGAAAATTATTACATTCACAACGTGTACAATTTATTTGTGCAACTAAATATAGGCATCTTAAAGATACTTGTGTGTTTCATCCTCAGAAGACCCTCCCTGCCAAAAAAAGTTTTCAGATATTAGGTTCTGAAGACAGTTAAAACTTATATCATCAGAATGCTTAGGGCAGAGTACTTCAGAAATTTTGAATGATTCCACTCCTTTTAGGAACACACGGTAGCACTTAAAATCATCTCATCCTTCATTAAATGTGATTTTACCCCCTTGTGCTTTTAAAAAACTTCACTGCATGAAATAAATTTTCATTTGGAAATACCAAAAGAATTAAGTTACACTAAGTATAATAGAATCATTGATATTGGAGATGAGAAAAATGTATTAGGCCTATCCTTTGAAGTCTCACGAAGGACAGTTTTCAATATAGTGTGTGACTTAGTGAGTTCTCTAGTCTAGCATTTAATGGGAATTTTCAGTATGCTAATAAAATGCTTTTAAAAATCTATCTATTTGGGCCATGTGTACCCAAGTGAGGCAAATGTTACTGAAAAGTGGAATGAGTTCTCATTTTCCGTAGTTCATTAATAATTGGCCTTGAGTGGAAAAGCAGCATCTTTAGGGTCTCCACCACCCACAGAACCATTAAATGAACCAAGGAAACTAACACCAACCCCTTCTCCTTTTTTGCCTGTTTGGACCACAGCCATAGGGATAAAACCTTAGTGTTCTGCACAAGTTGGGGTAGCTATTTCTTCAAATTCTACTTTTATCTACCAAGTTAGGTCGAAATAACTTAAGGCAGAGAAATAAACTAGAGCTTGAGAAAGGTAATTAAAAGATGGAGAGTAAGATAGTGATGAAGGAAAGGAATAAATGAGAAGATGAGTTTGTGGAATTAAGCCTGGATTTCCAAAACTAATGTTTCACTAAAAATATTGAACATGTCTATTGATATTCTGACTTGTAAACTCTGGCTTGTTTTGAATATAAAGTGAGATAAGAAATGTAAAGCATTTAGCACAGCACAGGGTATGTATTCCATAACTAATCACTTTTGTTCTTTATAAATGAAATATTCTGTCATATGCAAGAAGTAACCTAAAGTACAATGTAAAAGTATAGCCTTGAATCTCTGTGGTAATTTCTACTGTAATTGTTTATTAGGAAATACAGAGGCTACTTTTCAGAAAGTATGCCATGATTTTGAACAAGAAAAATCATGCACTTCATCATCCAACCCTTCATTCATTTATTCAATAAATACTTATGGAACAAATCATCTGTCAAGCATTGTATTAATTGCTGGGCACAGAGAAATGGACAGAAAACCCAGCATGCTCAAATTCCAATGGAGGTGACCGGTATATAAACAGATAAAAAACGAAAGAATAAGTGCTGAAATGGAGGTCTGTTGTAGGTACAGCTCAAGAGCAGTCATACGAGAAGGGTCTGTGTAGGAAGCATAGAACACTGAGGCCTCTGTCTCCCCCCAATAGTAAGCTGGAGCATGAAGATCTTAGATACCACGCACCAATGTGAAACAAGCAACCTGTCCATAGTTCATGTGAAATGTTAGGTCATTCTTTAATCTGAAAGCCAGTAAGACCTTATACACTCTGCATCAACCAATTAAAAAAGACTGGAAGACTATTACAGCTAGACTTCAATTAATGAATCATCTGAGAATAAAGATGAATAAAGTCAGACTCCGTTTAGAAATAAAAAGTGGACAAAAGTCTTCATAAATTATTCAAGGAATGCGAGTGCATCACAGAGCTCAGGAACAATGTCCCTCTAAGATATAAAGGTGATGGGCAAAGTCAATGACTCCCACCTTATGTAAGGAGGTCAAAGAGGACAGACACAAGAGAGAAATATCCATGCAGTCAAGTTTGCTTTTCTCATTTGTACCCTACTTGCCTCCGTTTGCTAGCAACTGGACAGCCTTCAAAGCTTACTGTTGCTGACAGATGGGTTATAATTTAGCTTAACTTTCAGTAGGTTATCTCATCAGATTTTCGCTTCCTATGCTTATGATTCTTTGATTAACTGATTAGTTGATCAGTTTGTTGTTTTGTTACCCCAGCTCATTCCAAAAACTTTTTTGAGGTGACTAATTTTCTGATGGTTTAATAATAAACTTTGTCTCATTTAAATAATGTACATCAACAGGCAAGCGGAGAGAGATTTTCTTTCCATAAGGGAAACCGTGAAATCTAACTATACTTGTCTGCCTGTAGGTATGACTAAGGCACACAGATTTATGATGCACTCCTACATTTTCTTGGTTAGTCACTCCTCTATTCTCCCAAAGCATGTTGACAACAACAGCAATATAACACTATAATTATTTTCTTACATATGTGTCTTATTCCAATAGTTCTCAAACTTTTAATGTGCATCACCATAGTTATACAAGTGGATGGGGCTTGTTAAAACATAGCTTCCAAGAGTTTCTGATTAAGTATGTCTGGGGTGTAACCTCAAAATTTACCTTTCTAACAATTTCCACATGATGCTGATACTGCTAATGTGGGGATCATACTTTGAGAACCATTGTCCTGTCCGTGTACCTGGAAAATACCTAAATGATAGTTACTAAGTCTTACCTCTGTACAGAAACTTTTAGAAAGTGCTCAATAGATGTTGAAAACATTGAATAAATGAATGAATAATTGTACCTGGTTTAGTTCTCCAAGGAAGAAAGAATAAATAGCTTCTGATCCCACTTCTCAAAATGTTGGCCTTTGAAAAACCCTAAGTAGGATGAGCCTGGGGGCAAGACCAAAGTGAGAGCTGAAAACCCAGGGCTGGAAATGTCAAATGGCATTTCAGTCTTCAACCTCCTCAGTGATAGACAAATGAGCTCTACATAAACCCTCGGCAAGATTCAAAACACATTTCTAAATGGATGTGTTGTGAAAACGCAGAAAAGGAAGGGTTCATCAAGAACAAAGGCTGACTGGCAGCATCTTTTCCTTAGCAATATTCTTTACAGAGAACATCAGGGAAATACAATAGGCATAAGGTATCTGGAACAACAAAAAGGCCTTGCTTCTGGTGCACAACATGGAAAGAGACAAGTTATACGCCAAAAAAATTAGATTAATTAATAAAGACCTAGATGAATGTACTGATGTCAGCCTGAAAGATGACTTCTAGTGGTGTGGCACCTCATTACTTAACTTCGAATGCTTGTTTTCATCAAGAGTTTGAATGATGACATGAGAGCAGGCCACCAAAAGTGCAGATGATTCAAAGCTGGGGGCAAAAAAAAAAGCAAGTGCTTTAGGAGACAGAATGTAAATCTGGCAGTGTGCCATGCATGAGAAAGGCTGAAAATCAGCAATAAGTTCAACAGGAGTCAACAATATGTTGTGACTACCTTTAAATGTATGTAAATATGAATATACATACAAATATATATAGTTATGCATATACACAGACATCTATAATATATATATTACATATACATATTCAGAGAGAGAGAGAGATAGTGTAGTATCAGAATGAGTTGAATGACAGGTCCCTTCTTTAAGGTACTCAGATTAATTAGACTAATCAGAGTACTTAACCCCATCCTTGTATCCAATTATTGATTCAAAAACATTTCTTAAAACACACAACAAAGCGCCAACTTAACACGGTGAGTGAGGTAAAAATGTTTAATCCCATAAAATGCAAAGTTGCCTTGCTAGGAGACTGATGAAATGACTAGGGCAAACCTGCCCAGCTAATCCACTGGCAATTCTGGGGCCCCTGGCATGCAAGTCAAACAAGTGCAGGTCCCAGCTGTGGGAGCAATTGCCTACCTTAGCTTACATACCCGCTCTGTTGTCCACAGTGGCTAACATATCCATGTAGGATGCTGGGATATATTGACAATTCCAGCACAGCGACAGCAATTTCAGGCATTTCCTGATTAGCTGATACACATTTCATTGGTCCCCGTGGAGGAAGATGAGATGAAAGATGAGAGAGCACTGAAGACATGGAGATCCATCCTTTGCCTCCCCACTTCCTGAGTGAGGACTACTCTTCCTTTCTCCAGTCAGCCCTCATTTGAGAGCAAGAGTGGGTGGAAGACCATTCTCAGCACCAATCATGCTCTGTCTGCTTTAGGACTTCCATGGGAGGCCAGTTGTCATGGAGTTTTGTTCCAGACAACATGCTAGGTACCCAGCCCACAAAGATAAGAAGATATTATCTCTGTCCTCAGCAGATTTAGTTTGATATATGTCTTTATAAGTTATGCAAAATGGCAGCAACGTTGACCACTTAAGTCTAGCTTGGGGAACCACAGAAGTCTTCATATAGGCGGTATCATTAAAGCTTGAAATTAAAGGATGAGTAGGTGTTTGTTAGAAAATAAATGATCAGATTTTGCTATTGAAAATCCAAAGTATGGAGCTGGGCGATTTACAGGACTGGATTATGAAGGGCCTTTAATTTTTATTCAAAAGTATTTAAGATAAAAAACAGCAGCAAGAATTGATCATCTATAATAATAGATGAGTATAAACAAAGAGAGAAATTTTATCAAATAGGAAGCTATGAATGGACTAACTGTAGCAGGAAGTATCAGTTGAACATTTGTGTTTTCAGAAACATTTATACAAATGGAAAGAACATGTTAGAAAGATGACCATTTTTAGATGATTCTAGCATTCTGCTACTGTTTCTAGGATTACGGGATGTTGAAGTGGAATGTTGCAAGGATATCAGTTTGATATTTAGTTTGATATATGTCTTTATAAGTTATGCAAAATGGCAGCAACATTGACCACTTAAGTCTAGCTTGGGGAACCACAGAAGTCTTCATATAGGAGGTATCATTAAAGCTTGAAATTAAAGGATGAGAATGATTTCACACTATTTATTCAGCATCCTATCTTGGATGACTCCTTAACTATGTTTAAAAGTAGTCCCTTAGTAAATGGAATTTCTGGACCCCCTTCTGTGGAGCCTTGCACTAGATTCACGCTATAATGTGGTGGTGGCCTCAGGGATAAATTCAGCTCTACTTCATCACTTGGGCTTAATGATTTTTTTTCAAAATGCTATCCTTGACGCTATTTTTAAAAGCAAGAATACATCCTTTGACATTCTGTTAATTAGAACAAAGAGATCTATATTGTGTCCTACGCTTACTATATTCAATAAAATAAATGAATTCAATTTTTTTTAATACTACAACAACAACATCATAACCCAGATAGCAATAAGGACCAGCTTCCACTCTCCAGTGGATTGGCCCCTGCTACTCCTAGCATTGGCCCTGTTCTCTCTTCCTTTTACTAGGCTGAACAACATAGATACCCTTTGCCTTTCTTCACAAGTCAATTTAAAAACTTTAAAAAATTCCATTTTGTTCTGTCCAAAACTGTGAAATCCAAAGCTGGACATACTCGTTTATTGCTAACCTGTTCCAGAGAACCATTAGGCCTTCACCCAGCTGCCTTCTACTTTTCACACTTCTCCAGCACTGAGAAGGGAACAGCAGAATACTGCCAACCAAGAAAACATTGCCTAGTGGCTTGGTAATCTGGGAATTTTTCCAGCTTGCCTTGTGGAGGCAGCCCAAACATCATAGTGTTCCCAAAATGCCTGACTGGGTTGACTAAGCCTGTAGTACTCTCACACAATTGTATGCTATAACCTTGTTAATAATTGTGTGCTTTAACTTTGTTCACACCACGTCCTTTCTTTTCTTCCTTCCTCCCTTCCTTCTTTCTTTCCTTCCTTTCTTCCTTCTTTCTCTCCCTACCTTCCTCTCCTCCTTCTTCCCTCATTCTCTCCCTTCCATATCTCCTATCAATTGTCCACCTCCTCAATATTTTGCAATTTGGCATGAGGTCCATTTTGCTCATGCATGACAGAAGAGAATGAGCACCCCAGGAATTGGCCAGTCTCTTCATTAAAACCCAACCAGACTGAATATGATCTGTGACTGTTGGAGGTATAGTGCATTCAGGCAGGGGTTGCCAACACTAATAGCACAGTGCTTGGTCATGAAGATAAATACATGACTTTTTATATTTATCAGAAACAACCAAACTGGAGAAAAGAGATAATGGTATTTTCAGGAAAAAATATCACTCATTGGCAAATATATGAAATAGAGATAATAATATTGTGAGGTTACTCTGAGAGCTAAATGCACAAAAAAATGCAAGAAAAGTATTCAGTGCATTGTCTGGCATTTAATAAATGCTCAGTAAGTGGTATTATCATCATCATTGTCACCTTCCTCATGCTTTGGTTATTGTCAGTATCAAAATAGCAAAATCTTAAATTAGGACCTATTTTGGTAAAATCATATCCAGATATTAGCTGGATATTGTTTGGTATATACTCATACTAAGACAGCAGGAAAGGTTTTATCCCAGAAGCATTTTAGGTTGAAACCCTCTAATTCATCGAGGCTTATACTAGCTCTTAGATTCCTGAAGGGACCACGTTACACTCATCATCAGCCTAAATCCAGGTTGATTGCTAGGTGTCCTGTTGGTGTGACAAATTTATGATGGGAAAATATTTGCAAATATTTTTAATTGCCTGACAGTTGTTCTTCATTTAAAAAATACCTTACTTGAACAAAATCGCGCCTTTTGCGACAACATGGAGGGACTTTGCGGGTATTATGCTAAGCGAAATAAGTCAGACAGAGAGAGACAAATACCATATAATTTCACTCATATGTGGAAGATAAACAAACAAACACATAGATAAGGAGAACAAACTAGCGGTTACCAGAGGAGAAGCGGGTGGTGGGAGGACAAAATGGGTAAAGGGGCACGTATGTATGGTGACAGATAAAAACTAGGCTATTGGTGGTGAACAGGATGCATTTTACACAGAAACTGAAATAGAATAATATACACCTGAAATTTACACAATGTTATAAGACAATATGACCTCAATAAAATAATTTTAAAAAAATCTTACTTTAAAGTGTATGCCTTAATTTTTAAATACTTCAAAAAGAGAAAAATGGTGTATTATCTATCCCAGCACCTTAATACCACATCGCTCAGCATTTTTATGTATTTCATTTTGAATTTTCGTGCACTTTTTAGAGTCATAATAGTAATGTGCATATGATATCATAACATGCTGCTTCATATTACATATACCATAATGATTGAGTAAATTTTGTTATCAGAATGTACAGGTTTAAATTGTAGCTCTGTTGTCTATTAGCAATGTAATCTTTACAAGTCTCTTAACCTCCCTGAAACTCAATTTCTCCTTACATAAAAATGAGGTAATGATAACAACATATATCTCACTGTGAGAACTGAATTAGAGAATCCATGTAAAGCGCTTCCTGCAACGCCTAGAACATAGTACTCAATAAATGTTATGCGTTTTAATGGTTGAGAGCAGTCCCTAATCTTTTAACCATCTCTAACTGATTGTTAACAACCGCTAATGCCATGTTATAAACGATGTTATAGGTAGCAAAATTCCAGGTTCACAATACCCTTGCTATCAATGAATATTTTTTTTTAAGTTTTGTGCTGTGATCATTGAAAGATGATGTCATATTTCATATTTGTTAATACCACTCTTAGCTGTTTATTAAAATTTTTACTTCAGTGTAACAAAAGGAAATAATATCATGCTTGCCAGATTTCTTTTCCATCCGCGCTGCCCTCCCCCACTCCTTCCCCTACCACCCAGCCCCCTGTGCCCAGGACAACTTCAGGGAGAGAACTGTAGGATTTAGCAGGTCACTATGACACGATTTTCTCCTGTTAGCCCACATCTCACACGTTCTGGAACATACAGAAATCCCAAGACTCAAATTGCTTCTACTCCTCCTCTTTTTTTCAGAAGCCTGAGCTACAAAAACAAACTGCAACTTTTTTTCCAATCTAAGTTGAATTTACATTTCTTTGACTACTAATGAAGTGAGCATTTCCCCATCTGTTTGTTTACTTGTTCTACTTCCTGTTTGGTGAATTGTCTGTTCATGTCCTGTGCCCAGGACTGATGAATTTGTATGGGCTTGTTTTTTAACATTGTAAAGTTATTAACTCTTTATCAAAAATAGACTAGGGTATTCTTTATGAAGTAAGGATTTTTATATTTATAAAACTAAATTTAGTGGCATTTTTTTCTTTATGATTACTTTTAGTCGTTTGTAAATTCATAGTCTTCTATCCAAAAATCTATTTATTTATTTCTATTTTTTCTACCTTAACAATGGTTTGATTTTTTCATTTTAACATTTTAATCCATCTCAAATTCATTTTGGAATAAAATGTGAGGTAAAGGAATACATGTTTTTTTCCAAATTGCTAACTATTTATCCTCCACTACTTTGACTAAGCCTTCTCCTCACAATTTTGTTGATTTACAATGACTTTATTTTACATGACGTTTGTGCAAATAATAACAATTATTTCTGGGCTATTTATTCTATTCTACTCAGCTGTCTATTTTTATACCAAAACCATATATTTACTTAAGTTTTTTTTTTTTTTTAAGATTTTATTTATTCGTTTTTTCCCCCCAAAGCCCCAGTAGATAGTTGTATGTTGTAGGTTCACATCCTTCTAGTTGCCGTACGCGGGACCCGGCCCCGGGCTGGACGGAGAAGTGGTGCCTCGGGGCGCGCCCGGGATCCGAACCTGGGCCTCCAGCATCAGAGCGCGCGCACTTAACCGCTAAGCCACGGAGCCGGCCCTACTTAAGTTTATAATGTGTTTTGTAGTGGTGGCAGGGGTGGTTGTTTCTAATTTACTTTGATAGTCTTGTCTGTTTATTCTTTCTAAATGAATGTTACCTTAGAAAAAAATGTTTTAAATTTCCCCCAAAGCTCCCATTTTATTTTATTTACATGAAACATATAAATAAATGTGGGAATTATATTACACATATAAATAAATGAGGTTCAATCATCTCTTCCAGAGTCGTGTTTTACCCTTAAAGATGTCAATAAAGTTTTTAATTTTCCTTATATGTTTTACTTGTATAGACTGCAGCTATATTTGTAATTTTCTTTATATGTAATTTAGAGATTTCTTTTTAAGATTATCCTGGGTTACTCATATCTTTTATTGATGTTTTGACTGTGATTTCTTCTTTAATTATATTTCTAGCTTTATATTAAACACAATTATATTTAAGTCATATTCATAATCTTTTATTTCATATAACTCTTTGGAGATTATAACTGCCCAATATTTATGCTCCATATTTGGCTTCACATTATACTGGTTAATCAGAAGTCTCCAAATAATAATAAAAATTAATGATGGTAATAGAGATCCTTATCTTATTCCTAGGTTTCACCATTAAATAAACACTGGCTGTTGGTTTAAAAGAGGGCCTCTATCATGTTCAAGAAATAATCTATTCCTTTTAGTGTTTTCATGAAAAATTTCTGTAGACATTTTCAGTACCTTTTGACATAAATATACCATTTCCTTTTAATATATCGATTTGCTATTCTCCTTGAATAGATTTTATACCGAATCATGCTTCCTCTCCTGAGATTAAACCTCATGTGGTTGTGGTAAATTATTTTTCACAACACTCCAATAATGGAGTTATAACTCAAGAATTTAAACAAATAATAATTGTTGTATCAAACATTTCCCTAGAGTCCTGCTCTTATAACCCTACTTGCCTTCCTTTATCCACCAATTTGATAATCTTATTTTAAAAAAGACAATTAAGCTTGTCTGGCCTGATTTGTGCTGAGGAAGGTCATGCCCTTCATTGGTTATGATTCCTTTGCCCAACAGTGGTTTAGTTTTTCTCCTTTAATATTTGTTCCTATGTTTCACTAATTTTTGTCATAAAAGAGTCTTGTAGATATTCTTCCCATGCATTGGCCTAACTGAGACCCTTTGTGCTTTAAGTTCTAAATAAGTCTCAGCATAGCGTGGCATATATTATATAATCATCATTAAATAGTATTTTCCCAGGGGAGTTATTCTGCTGCCCACCATCAGCTAGCAATCCCTCAGCTCTCACCCCAAATCACATCAACATTCATGCCATAAAGCAAGTTTTGTTCTCCTTTGTCTGATTAAAATTTTTAAATCAGCCACATTCAACATATGGGATTTTTCAATATCCCATTATTATTGAGACTACTATTGCTATTTGAGTTTAAAATAATAACAATCTGAATGTCCATTAAGGACCAACACACAATAGGGGAAGCCATTGTGAACTATCCACTTGTCAGGCATATTATGTGCCTGGTGACCCACACATGCCTGAGATAAAAATGAACTATTTTCAGTTGTATGTCATTGTCTAGATTATTTGCTTTTTAAAAAGCAATTTTAATATTTATTTTAAAATTGAGAGAAATTATGAAGCACTGAAAAAAAAACAGAGGTAAATAAAGGACATAAACTAGAAAATGAATTTGAACAAAGACAAAATTGCATTTAAACACCCTGGTTCCATTGTCCAAGCTGAAAGTCTGCCAAAAATAAACAGCGAAAAATCAAGAAAAAATTGGATTGATATAATTGTTCTTATCTTAAGATCATAGAATTTCAGGGAGGAATAGGGAATATGAAAATTTTTATTAAGTGTATAGGGAGACTCCATTCTGTGAGTCTGGTGATTACAAAACTTGAATGTTTCCATAGGGATTCCAACTAGCATGTATTCTGGGATGATTCTATTTATCAAAGAAAATTTCCAGGATTCTTCCTCCAAGATAACTTCCTTTTTACTTTACTTATGTGTTTAGCATTTACAATTGTCAATGCATTCATTCAGCCTGTCTTGAGCACATACAAATCAGGCACTGTCCTAGACTTTGAGCACATACCAGGGAAGAGAGGCACTCAAGTTTCCAGTATTTTTTTCATTCACACATGATCCCCTCCTCCATCCACCACTCCAACTGTCTCTATTGAACTATCTTGGAGGAAAGCTTAGATAAATAGGAAAAGCTTATTCCTCCAGAGTTATTTTAAAATGAAAATGTAACGCTTTTAATATTTCTTTTAAGTTGATTTTAGTTGTATTTCAAAGTAATTGACCTGATCCCATACCATTTAAACATCTCACTTAAAGATTCAAGAGCTAAAAAAAGGCTTTTGGGTTGTGAGTGTTCTGTAACCATGGGTGAGAAAGAGAAAGAGGAGACTGGGAGTGGTGTGTGTATGTGTGTGTGTGTGTGTGTGTGTGTGTGTGTGTGTGGTTATTCGAGCCACCACCAGTGATCATATGTTCTCATATGTTCTTCATTATTTAGCAACAAAAAGTCCTCCAGAGAAGTGTTTGTCAAAGGTGCTCAACTTCTCCGATAATTAAAGAAATCCAAATTAAAACAACTGTAAGATACACTTTATAAAAATCTAAAACCTTTTACATTACTCAATCTCGATCAAGACACAGGAAAGCAAACTTTTTACAAACTCTTTTTTGTGGGAAAGCAACTTCGTACATTATTTTTGGAGGGAAATTTAACAATGTCTATCAACACTAAAAATAAACTAAAAATATACAAACACTTTCGCCTAGTATTTTTATTTCTAAGAATTTTTTTCTATGAAAAGTCTCATATAAATGTGCAAAGATATATGCAACAATGTGTATTGTGGCTTTGTTTATCATAGAAAACAATTAGGTACAATCAGGATGCCTATCAGTTGGGGACGGGGGATAAATTAGGGTTACTCATACTATGACATGTTGTGCAGCCCTTAAAAATGAGAAAGGT